CCCAAAAATTAGAAAGGAAGTATACTTCTTGTTCTACAAATATCGAGTGGGTCGGATTTGATGTCAGTGCTGACTCCTGGCTCTTTGGTTGCTATGGTGATGAGAGAAGGAAGAACAGCTCACAGCAGAAAGAAATTCAGTGCCACCTGGAGGAGATCCAATGCTCCAGGAGGAAGTAACTAACAAGAAGCTCCTCTTTGGAGACCCCCCAACTTGATAGTATGTCAGCTTGTCACGGAGGGACTAAGGGGGGAAGTCTTTGTGCTTAGAATTTGTGCTGTTGTCAGTGTGTTCAAACCAGAGGAGGCCAGCACCCGGGACTGACCATCAAGCTCTGTATTCTCAGCTGCCAGCGTCATGTCAAGTGATACAGAAAGCTCATAGTGCCTCCTTCATGGACTACCAACAGGTGCTTGCCATCAGGAATTATGCTGATGACACACATAGATGCCTCCAAATCCTCACCCTGGCTAAGGACAGAGCTGCCCACATAGTTCTGTTCAGCATGACATGGTTAGCTAAATCAAGCTGACAACTGTGAGTACAGGACAGCAACTAATTTCTCCCCAATGCACAGGGAGATAATGATCATTTTTCCCTCTATCCTGTCAGCTAATGTTTAATTGTATTTTTGGCCTGTGTGGCAGGAGACGTGCTCTCTTATGTCACTAAGACAAGTTGCCATTTCTTTTAGGAGAATCATCATTTTGATAATTTCCTGGGGATCCAGCCGTGGCCTCAGTAGAGCTATAAACTGTGAGAATGCAGGAATGAGGCTTCCAAATAATGACCTGCATCCTGAGTTCTCATGTCAGAACCCAGGATCCCGAGGCACTATAAGTATTGGCAGGAAAACACTGAAGATTCCTGGAGCTAGTCTTGAGTCGTCCTGTGATTTGTGGTGCAACCTTGAGGAAGTCACTTCCTTTCCCATCATCTACAATTTCCACATTGGAAAGCTGGCAGAGCTCATGAAAAAATACTGAGATTAAAATCAGATCATAGATGTAAAGCTCTGTTGAATAAAAACCTGTGTAGGCAAAGGTAATTAATATTAACCCGATATTGAAGGATAAAAGTATGCAGTCCAAGATTATTGAAAGTACATGGGTAAAAGTAAATGTTTTAGCCCAGCTCTGGCCCACAAGACTGGATTCCACGGGACTTCAAGACCACGTGGCCGCCCGCCTACCAGATGGTCAGACTTCTTCATCAAGATCATGAACGATCGGTTTGAGGATCTTCGTATTCCTAGAACGAACAGATGCCATTGGGCTACACTAGCACTCAACAGGGACAAATGGAGAAATTACTGGCACCTGCTCGAGCAAATTGACGATTAACGGGAAGTAAAGTGATCAAGTGATCAAGTGTGTTTGGCATATTGAATACACCACAGGTAGCTTGCCAGGCTTTACTGTGCAGGCGAGATACTCTCAATCGCTTGCCGGGCTCTCCGAGAGGGGCAGAGGAATCGAACTCGGGTTGGCCATGTTGGCTGTGTGCAAGGCAAACGCCCTACCCGCTGTGCTATCGCTCCAGCCCTTAATGTATGTATTGATAGTAACTTCCTTGGAATTAGACAGTGAAGTTGGAAGCATCAAAGACTTAATACTGTAAGACAGGGTATTGGGAAGATCAAGTACATAACTATCAAAATGATAGCATCTATAAAAAATAAGTTATTCTCTATCTATATATCCATCTATATCTATATCTGTATCTATCTATATCTATCTACATATCCACATATGAGTATCTGCACACATGCATACACTGTACACACATATGTAATGTATAGATGTATCTCACATCTACAAAGTCCAAGCACTCTTGTGAGTTATCTACATGCACTATCTCACTTAATCCTTACAATAACCTAGTAAAGTCGGTATTATTATCACACATCCCTTTTTTCAGATGAGGAAAATGAGACTTAGAGGTTAATTAGGCATTTCAACCATGATCACTTAATTAACAAAACGTAGACCTAGTATTTGAATGCCTGTCTAGTGTCATTCCAGAGCCTGCCCCTGCAATCTTCATGCACTAAATTACTGGCCCTAGAGTCTCTGTGGATGGGCCTCTTGGTTTCTTACCTAGAGCTTTATTTGATCAGTCTAGAATGCAGTCACCAGGGGGCGCACATCTTGTATTGTTAATAGACGCCAGGAGTGAAAGATTTTTCCAAGAACCCAAATCCTAGTTACAGTTCAGTCCTTTTCACTGGCGTTTTGACCCAGGCATGCCCAATAATAGAGATCTTTTAAATATCTGTGCATGGAAGTGTACATTTCTCTTTCATGCATGTCACACGATATGAGATGAACTGAAGACCTGATGAACTCTCAGGGCTTCTCTGGGGAATGAGTTGAAAAGAAAGGTAGTTGAAGTCCAGAATTAAGGGACAGGACTCTTTAGTTATACTGTCTGGTTCTCTCCTCAGCTTCCTCACATCCTGACTGTCATCTCAGCTCTCTGAGCCCTAGTTTCCTGTCTGTAAACATGACACTAGTGTCACCCACCCTGCTGATAATGCTAAACAAACTTTGGATAATGCAAGAGCAATGCTAAACACAAGGTATGCTAGTTCTTCTCTCTGGACTCAGATTCTTCAGTCAGAAGGACGTTGGTCCAGGCAAGGTCCGTTACATTCAGGATCCACGCAACACTGAGGAAGAATAGAAGGCCTTCATCAATCCTTAGCTCTGATAGCCCCTTACTGGAAGCTCAGCCTGGCATGGAGGCCCCTGGATTTCTTTTCCTTGGTGACAACTTTCAAGACCCTCAACTCTTCATGGTCTGGAATTCTTCCTAACCTCTGACTCATTTCCCTCCAGCCCAAACTGAAAACTGCTCTTTCCCAACCTCCCACAGACTCACCCCTTCAGCAAGCCCTGCAGACCTCATCTCCCTAACAAATAGCTCTGTAATTAGAAAGAATGGAATCCTAGGAAAAGTGCTTTAGTCTCTCAAATTGTGGCTCAGCCATTTATGAATTGCGTGGCCTTAATTGATTTCTCAACTTCCCTGAGCCTCAGTTTCCATGGATTTGGGGAAAAGAAGACCCTCATTCACTGTTGCTGGGTACACAGACTGGTCCAACCTTTATGGACATTTCTAAAACAAGTTAGGAATCAAGCTTCCTTCCAATCCAGTAATTCCACATCGTGGACTCTATCCCAAGGGCCCCAAAACATGATTCAGAAAAGACATTTGCACTCCTATGTTTATTGCAGCACTATTCACAGTAGCCCAAATCTGGAAATGCGATTGGTTAAAGAAATCATGGTACATGTACATACTGGAATACTACTTAGCTGTACTGAAAGGTGAAATTAGGCACTTTGCTGATGAGTGGATGGAGCTGGAGAGTAACATGTTGAGTGAAGTTAGTCAGAAAAGAGACCAGGCACAAAATGACCTTTTTCATGGTGAGATATAATGTAACATAGTAAAGAAACAGTAAATATTTAAAGGCAATAGAAATAGAATTGGATTTCATAGGATACTGATCACAGGGAAGGGAATGGGGGGTTAGAATGGAGAGGAGGACACTGATACAACAGCAGAGAATGGTGGCCACTCTGGAGGAAGTTGTCAAGCATGAAGCCCTACCAGTATTGTAATCCACAGTGCCTGCTTTTAAAAGTTGCTTCTCATAGAGAAGGCAAATTAGGAGGGTGAGAAACTGGAGGCAAAAGTGGAGGGAAGTTGATTGACACTGGTGATGTGATTGGTCTTGGAGCATTGTATGACCAAAACTCAATCATGAATAACTTTGTAAACCACTATGCTATAAAAATATAATTTTGGGGGGGGTTGTTTGGGTTTGGGGCCACATCAGCAATGCTCAAGGGTTTCTCATAGCTCTGCATTTAGAAATTACTACTGGCAGTGTTTGGGGAATCATATGGGATGTCAGGGATCAAACCCGGGTCAGCTGTATGCAAGGCAAACGCCCTACCCACTGTACTCTCTTTTTAGCACCCCCCCCAAAAAATTTACATTCAAAAATTGTTTTAAAAAGTTTTCTCATATGTAAAATTAAGGATACAACAGTAGTTACACTAATATAAAGATTAAGTAGGTCATATGTGTAAAGTGCCAACCATGTTATTTGAGAGCACTTGGGATATGTGTGTGTGTGTGTGTGTGTGTGTGTGTGTGTGGTGCCAAAGATGGAACCCAGCTCCTCCACATGCAAGATGTGCCATACCACAGACCCACATCCATGGACCTGGAAGCATGTTTGAAAATAATATATTTATTCATATATAAATATTCTTATATATATAAGATATAAGCCTCAGTTTCCCTAACTTAACCATTCTTCAGCGTGCTAATGTTAAAGGGGTTAAAGGGGTTAGTCTATGTTAAAGGTGTTAGTCTATGTAAAACTTCTAGCCATGTTACCAGTACATAGAAAGGATTAATAAACACAAGTTATGATAAACTTAATCCTCTAAATCACCCTGTTACCTAATCTTTGGATGGAGAAAGCCCTTACTTCCACCTCAGTGGGTATTGCCATCTACTATCAACTCCCCAGTTGCACCTCTGTTGTTATTTAGGACATTTGTCTCCTTTCCTTCTCCATGTCCTGCTATGAATGATGGGCTTAGCTCATGGTACCCAACTAATGTGAGCCCCGTGTTATTGTTTTTGGCAAGGCTTGTAGCAACCTCCGTGCAAACACACAAACTCAGGTATGAACACCTTGCTAACTTTTTCGCTTGTCATTCATACATGGGCACAGTCACCATGCAGATCTTCTAGGATTGTTGTCATTCTAGTACCAGAGGAGCTCCTGAGTGTAACATGAGTAGCAAGCGCCTGACAGAGTGTTGTAGCGACAACCACTTATTGAGCACTCCCTCTTAGCAAGGGTTTTGTACCCAGGCTTGTGTGCACACAACAGAGGTTGCTACAAGCCTTGCCAGCTGGGAGTAAACCAAAAATGCAGTAAGAAACACCAGACCTCTGACAGGTCAGAAGAGTGAACCCAGGGCACCTAACAACCATGTTTGGGAGGAGGATTGGCAACCATTTTACAACAGGGGCCTGGGGCTGAAAGGAGACCAACTGCCCACTAGATAACCACACAGGTACAGTTGGGGCGAGTGTGGAGAGGAGGGTTGATAATACTTACTGGGGGCTGGAAAGGGATATTTCATTAACCCGAGCTAGAGACTAGGCAACTCTTTTATGTGCAATGTGTGTGGATGTGTGTGTGAGAGAGAAAGCGACAGAGAGGTATAATAAGGAACTATAAGTAGTAGTGAGAGGGCGAAGAGCAGAGAACTGACCTTGGCATCCAAGGGAAATGGGTCTCTAGATAGAGCCAGCGTGTGGCAGAGATGAGATTTGGACCCAGGTGCATCTGCCTGCAATGCTCTTAATTGTTTGGATATTAATGCTTGGCATAGAGTGGGTGCTCAACGAATGTTTCTCTAATTAAGGAACTGCGGCTGTCTCTTTCTGGTAATATTTCTCCCCCCACCTCTGTGTGTGTCTATGCTATCGCTATCACATTAACAATGTGCCCTCGCTTTTGCAATGAGGTGGGGGAGATGGAAGACAGATGGAGGAAATGTGGGGCACTGGCATGAACCAGCTGGCTCTGAGCCAGAGTTGTGCATGCAAACATAAATATTGTTCTTATCCACATTTCATTGTGGAGAAACTGTTTAAGAGAGGTTACAGAATCTTCTCGGTATTCACACAATCATTAAACGGCTGAGGCAAGATTCAAATATGGAGGTTGCTGCTGCAACTGGATACACCCATTAACGAAGAAGTATCCCATGCTGGTCTCTGATTGGTCAGAACAGTGAATACCAGTCACTTAGTAACTCCTTGTGGGGGAGAGGGTCAGAAGCCATTTCAGGGCATGAGACAAAGTGAGGTAAAATGTCCACCAGTAAGCCCTTGTCTGTTTGCAGAAAGGTGGAGGAGGGTAGGAAAAGTGAAAGATGTTCTTTCTGAGTTTAGATTTACTGCTCCAAGGCTTTCTAGGGTCTTTAAGCCTCGGATTTACGGATTTGTAATTCTATGTGATCTAATACCAAGGATATTGGGGTTCCAAGGCTTTTAAAACCCTATTGCCTATGGTAAAAGGACTCAATAAATTTTTGAGCTATAAAATACTTGGAACCTTAAGACCCAAAACAAGGATTTTAAACGGAACACTGGACACATTAAAATACTAATCCTCCATACACTTCAGATCTTAGCTTAACCCTTGGGACAGTAAGTTCCGATTGGTCTTTGCCACACTCTAGGAATCCCTGAATATGCCACACAGATGAGCGTGGAAAGTTTTCATTTACACGACAGTGAAAAGAGGGGTGTGGAATTCTGAATCCCACTGTGGATACTTCCAGTGCAGCTTCATCTTTATTTGGTGCATATACTGGGCTTCTGCATTTGATTCAGAAGGGTGTTCCTGCTAGAGCACAAAAAAACAGAAGTTTGAAACTTATGTCTTAAGGAAAAAGGAATTTGAAAACTGTAAAGAGTTGTTTAGGAAGCCATATGTGGTCTTTTTCATTTTTTACAAAGTAATGGAGGACAGATACGGCAAAGATTCTTTCTCTGAGGAGCCATTAAATGGTGCTTAGGAGATCAGGCGGCCATGACCCATATGAATCATAACTACAAACAAAACAACCTGTTATTAGTTGCCTCTAGCTTGTAAGCTCATTTCTGTTGTAAAATTAATACTAACCATTTCTATGAATCTGATTCCTATGTATACCACATCTGGTTCTTTTTCTATGTGCTGGGGGAAATTCTATGTCCTTTACATATATTATCTCTTTTTTTGAAGTAAAAACATATTTTATTTGGAGGTTTTTAGGAAGGTGGAAGGAGGGAGAGAAAGTGAGAGAGTAACTCACTCAAGGGAGAATCCGGGTTTCTCCAAGAAAGTCCCTACACACACACCAGCATTAGATATGGAAATATGAAAGTACACGTCTCAAGAGGGGAGATGCAGGCAACACATGTGCTTGGGCTCCACATGTGCTCGATCACATGGGCACAAGCAGCACATGGGCTCGGGAAGCATATGCACTATTATCTTATTTAATCCTCAAAACGCTGCTCTTAAAGGGAAGTGTCATTATTAGCCCAATTTTACAGATGACAATCTTGGAACACAGATTGGGTATATAATTTTTCCGAAGTCAGACAGCTAGCACAGGAAAGACTTCACTTAGTTTTATAAGTAGAAACATAATGGACTATAGCCGTTAAAGTGGTCAGAATTCATCTACCTGCCTGGCAGTGTTAAGTAAGGAACAAAGTTAAATTTTGACCAAAAGATGGCACCAATGTGTGAGTTTGGTTGTCCTGCTCAAGGCTGTGTCCAATTCTGGAAAAACTTTTGTCAAGGCTTCTAACTGGAGTGGCCTGTGTCACATTGAGGGGAAAAAGGAAAGTATTTTGCTCCTAAACCAGAAGACACTACCCTGTATTGTTTGTAACTAAACAGATATGGGAAGCCATATAGTGGAGGCACAGAGATTGCTCTCCCAAGAGCTGCTTTAGAATCTTTTTTCCTCCAATGTTTTCTAGGTGCCTCCTTTTACCAGGTAGTGTGCTATGCGATGATGGCATACTATCAAATCAAACACAGTGCCATCTTATTTTACAGACATGGAACAGATGATATGGTATACAAGAGGCACTGAACATATGGAGACACCCAACATGGACTTGACATTTGGTGAAGGTTTCTCATAAGAGAGGTATCTTCACTCATCAGCCGAACTGGTTGAATGGGAGTTTATGAAGTGTGTGAAAAATAAAAACACATTTCATGAAAAATTTTAGAAAGCATGGAACATTCAAGATCAAGCAGTGTAGACTTCAAATACTGAGATTAGTCTGAAGAGACAGGCTACAACCAAACAATTGTATGGTGTAGACAAGAAGTAAGAATAGCAAGTGAAGGGCTTGGTCTGTGAATATATAAGTAGAGAAACCATAAATTCTCAAGATGAACTGTGGCTTCATTTTTTAAATATGAGTCCAACCATTGAAGCAATGAAGAGTTATGATAGGGATACAACATGATCTGTTCTTGTAGCTAGTGTGAGGGATGATTGCAAAGGTACATGCTGGAGGCAAGAAAAATGGAGCACGAGTGGGCCTGAGGATCTTAACTACTGCAGTAGAAACAAAGGGAATTAAGGAAGCAAATTGATAGGATTTAGTAATGCCTGAGGTTCCCTCCCCACTTGCACGTACCCATCTACAAGGCTCAAATTAAACTGCATTTCTCTATCCCTCCTTAATCCCCATCAAAACTCCCAACTTCCAAGCTTCCCTCAGAGAGGCTTTTTGCTCCCTTTTTAAGCTGTCTTTGAAGTTTAATCAAGCCTGATTACATCCCAGGGAGAAAAAAACTGTCAACTAACCTCAGGTAGAGCAATGAATTGGCCTTGAGCTGGTCTCTGACCCTCTCTGCTCCTGGCTTCATAACATGGGCAGAGTTCAGTTAAGAAATCAGCACAGTTCTAGGAAAAGGTCAAACATCATAGTTTATTTTTCTCCTGTTTTATCTCATGCCAACATACAGACCCCTTCAATGTACAGCAGGAAAAATGGGGCATAGGAGAGGTCCCCAAAGTAAGCCGATTCTCCTGAAGCCCCTTTCCCTTACTACAAGGTCTGTCAGAAAGCAACTTAGCTTGGATCTAATGTTAGGATTTATGAAGGTAAAGTAAGAATTCAGAATTTAATCAGGAGACAAGACTATGCTGTCACTTGGAAGATTGGGAGTATAAAGAGGCCCCTAAGAGTAACTGTTATCGAGGGGAATGCCCTCCAACAGAGGCAGGGTGGGATGGAGGGGATGGGGGGTGGGAGGGCTACTGGGATCCGTGGTGGTGGGAAATGGGCACTGGTGGAGGGATGGGTATTTGACCATTGTATAATTGAAACCCAAGCACAAAGTAAGTAAGTCTACAACTGTAAAAAAAAAAAACAGAAAAAAAGAGTAACTGTTCTCTATTTGTACATGCTCAGTCCTGATCTGCTGTCATGTGACTTCACAAAGCAGATCTGAGTTCCCTTAGTGTTCCTAGGACCCTCCCACTATCTCCATGAGAGCAGCCCACACCATGAGATGCCATAGACCAGTTAGGCATAGAAAGGGTGAGCTAGGAACTCAAAGACTCAGCTTTGAAGCCTGGGAAATGTGCCTAAAGATATTTGGCTAATCGATGTCCTGGAGTCCTTCCAGACACTGAGCTCTATCAGAAGAAGAATAGTTCAATTTGGACAAGGCAGAGGTGGTGAAGGCGGATAAGCTGGGGCTCTGTGTGGTGTTGACTGTTGTACCCTCACATCCCCTTGTGGTCCTTTTCCATCTGTGTCCTTTTTCTCCTCTTCTTGATCTTTCTCCACTTTCTCCTTCTCATCTTCCTCCTCCTCCACCTCCTCCTCTTCCTCACTGTCCGAGTCTTCATACAGATTGATAGTTGCCTGAACAGGGAAGTTTCGCAGTAAAATCTCCCCATCTCTGTACAGGTAGTCAAAGGAGCGAGATTTAGGCCAGAAGAGCCTGTAGACAGAGAAGTGACATGCTTCTTAATTTAGAATTCATATGTGAAGAAGGTGCTGTAGGGCCAAGCTGGAAGCCTACCAAAAAACTCTTCCTCCCTGCAGCAAACAGATGAGAGGGAAAGCAACAGGAGATCTCACAGGACTTCTGGAATGTTTCAAAATGAGTTGGGGTATAAAGGTATAGCTGGTGCTATAGCTGTGGGTAATCTCCAGCTTAGTAGATATCAACGTTGTACTGATCCCACCCTCAATCCTAGAAGACCTCTAACTAAGATTTCTTTAGCCCTGTGTCCTCTATCTCTTCTGAGGTTTCCTTCATTGACTCACCCATAAGGGACACATTGTTAGGGATCAAGGACTTGAATCCAGGGCTGGTAACCTTGATTAGGCGCCTTAATCTTCCATTTTCTGGTTGATGAAACTGGGGTCATAGCTTTACCTCCCTCCCCCTTATTCACAGAGATGCTGGGAAGATTTAGAAAGCCAAAGGGTCTAAGTCAAATGTTGAACTTGGTTCCAGAAGCTTACCTGACGGGGTGATGGAACTCGGAGTTAGCCTTGGTGAACTCAGCACCTGTTGCCCCACAAATGGCCTGTCCAAAGCAAAAGCTAGCATGTGGCTCAAAGTCCATAGCCAGATAATTGCCTCCACTGTGTCAGGGGTCAGAAATCTGCAGGTAAAACGACCTAGAAGAGACCTACGATATCTCTGGGGTCCTGTCTCCTCCCACAACCAGGGGTTTGTCCTGGTGGTAGTTGAAAAACAAGTGGACAGAGTCCTGAGGTTTGTTTGCTTTCCTGGCCTTGTTCTAACACAAGTTTGGAGATGGTCCAGGGGACAGAATTCTCCCAGAGCAGCTAAAGCTTCTGGGGCAGGAATAGGGGAAGAACCCTGTGGCAAGGTGCCAGGGGTACAACCTCAGTTCTAGTTAAGACTAGTTGTAGGTCTGCTTGAACCCCTTCCCTAAACTGGACCCTCAGTCTTTTTAATCTTTCAAACTGTCACTGAAACCAGGTCTAAGCCTATGCCTAGGGCCATTGTGAGAATCAAATGTGAATGAGGCAGTGAAGATGTATGCTGTCTCATTCCCAGGACTGCTGCCCTGGGCTAAGATCAAGTGCCCTCAGGGAAGGGACTAGGTTTGTGGAACTGCAGAGAGCTGCATGAACACTTAAAACAGCGGTTGAAACTCACCAAATTCACAAACGTTCTCACCTGCCTTACGGAGTCACTTGTAGAAGACAACCAGGGTCTCCAAACATGTCTAGAATAAACAAGAGATATCTATTGGTGGAAGAAGAGACTGAAATGTTGACTCCCTGAGATAACAAAAGCGGTCTCCAGAAAACTTGGCTTTGGTGCTGTCGCCTCCAGGAAGCTTTGCCAAAGGACCCTGAGCCCAGGTGAGGACAGATGTCCCTCTGCTCTGCGTCAATAATGTTATCATCGCTCTTATCACCCCTGTTTTGTAATTGTCTGTTTATTTGCCTTTGAGCTTCTTAAGGGCAGCTTCATGTTTGATCAGATCTGAAGCCCACAATGCCTGCCACAGAGCAGACCTTTCAGTAAATGTTTGTGATCTGTTAAATGTTTAGAGGAATGAACCAGGGTTGGGTGGAAAATATCTTGCCTCCCAGAGTCCTCCTATCTTTCTGGGGTGCAGAGAGAAATAGTCCAGGGCTTTTCCCAGGAAAAATTCCACTTCTTCCTCAGAAGACTTCCAAAGGATGGGAAGCAGATGGAGATCTTGAAAGATGCCCCCAGAAATACATAGTGCCCCTTCCTGTGAAAGACTTCTTAATGCTTTGCCCTTGCTTTTGAGGCTTGGCGGGGGCTGTGCTAAACCCATGGTTTTGCGACACTCTCCAGTTTCCCTTGTGAACTGTGTGACTCGGGCTGTTTGTGCTGTCTTCATCTTTGGTGACATCCACAGTCACCAATTCCCCTCTGACAATCCAGAGGAATTAGTGAGGGGATGATTAGTTTTGGGCTGTAAAAATTGCATTTCTCCTCCTCAGAGAACAGAGCCACCCTGGATGGCCCTTGGCCTGCCTCTTTAAGAAATGCCACAAAACCCGAGTTCAGGTTGACGGAGGCCAAGTTTGCACTTACCTCCTATTCTCATCCCCTTCTTGCCGAGAAGTGAAAAGGAATGAGATGCTGGACAGGCCAGGACGCCCTATGGGGGTCAGGGCTGGGACTAGGCTTGGAGCAGGGGCAGCAGCAGCAGGAACAGCGTGGTCCATCCTAAGGTTGTCAAAGCTGGAGGGGATCCTTGTTCTCAGAATCTCCAGCGCTCTTCAGCCCTTTCCTGTAGACCCTTTTATAAAGGCCTGCCTGGACTCATAAATTATTCAGAAAAATGCAGAGCTGAGTGACCTGGAGGAGGGATAAAGATTTAAGAAGGGGACTCAGGGAGGGCGAGTGGGGTTCCTGGGTGTGAAATCGCTTCCAGTTGAATAAACAGAGTGTTAGTAGGGGGTGAGGGGTTTTCTTTTGCTCCAACTCAGAAAGGAAAACACAGAAGGGGCAAATCACACACCATTTGTGCGAATTCCCAGGCAGTAGCAACACCAGAATGACGGGGGAGGGGGCGATAGGGAGGGAGGTCATTAGCACCTCAAACCACAGAAAGTTGCCGGGCACAGAGTATTGGCAAGATAGGCTTTGTGCAAAGCGAGTTCCCAACACCAAGAAGGCAGGGCTGATCTGGTTAAGGAACCTGAGGCACTCCCGAGTGATTTGAGCTCAAACCCCAAATAGATTTGCCAGGTGGGTCCCATAGAGGGATTCTGTCATCACACACATCACCTCATTTAGGACAACAAGAAACTCTTAGTTGAGGGGGTCCAATTGCCTGTGAGTTCATCTTTCAGACATCTTTCCTGGCCTTCCCATTTACTGGAATGTTTATTTGCTCAAGTACCTGAATCCCTTCTCTGGTTTTAGTGGTTTCCAGTGAGGGAATAAAGGAGAGTAACAGGCAGTACTCTTTCTTGTCAGTTTCCAATTCTCTTCTCTCAGCTTCTAGTTCCAGGGCATGGGGATTGCAGAGAGGCTGAGTTATATCTGATAAGTTGCTGAGGCCCCAAGGCCTCAGTTCCCTCATGTGTGAGATGAGGCTTTTTCTAGGCCTTTGTTCTCATAGGGCCACCCTAGCCTGAATGGTCTGTGACAGGGGTTGGGAAAATGGGTACTGACTCCAGGCAAGCTCTGCAGCATGAGCACCATACTTGGCCTGAGCCAGTCTTCTGGGCCTTTGCCAACACGCTTCCAGTTACAACTACTGGGCAAGCTCCTTATGCTTTAGTGGCCCTTAAAATAGGACCCAGGGCCTCAGTGTCCAGTCGCAGCACCAATTTAGTTTCTTACTCTTCATCACAGCTGGGCTCATAATTGTCAGCAATTAGGATCAACCCTAATGTTTAACAGTAATAGGAGACCAGTTATACTAACTAGCATGAGGCCTTGCAAGCAAATGATAAGTGTCCATGTGCAATCAGGTTCTAGGAAATATGATTCCCAGCACAGAAAAAAAATCTGACTCTAGAATAGAGTGAATAATTTGATTCAAAGGCTCCTCATTTCTCTATTCACTTACCCCCTCCCTTCACTTCAATGCTAGCCTCACTATGTTGTTCCTAGCAAAGGAAAACTGGAAAGTACCTAATAAAAGTGTGTCTCTTTAAGAAGCTGGTTCATTGGCTGGTACAATAGTACAGCAGGTAGGGCATTTGCCTTGCACGCGGCTGACCCAGGTTCGATTCTCAGCATCCCATATGGTCCCCCAAACACTGCCAGGAGTAATTCCTGAGTTCAAATCCAGGAGTAATTCCTGTGCATCGCCATGACCCAAAAAGTTAAAAAAAAAAAGAATCTGGTTCAGGCCAGGGGATCTTTCAGTGGTAAAAGCACTTGCCTTGCCTATGCAGAATCAAGGTTCAATTCCTAGCACTACTTCTCCCTCCCAGAATCATCAGGTGCAGCCCTGAAGGCCCCAAGTGCTACTGGGGTGACAAAGGTAATCCCCAGTACCACAGGGTCAAAGCAACAGGGCCTTCCATTGAGCCAGTTTTGTAGAGAATCACCAGGAGTGACCTTCAGTCCTTTGAGAACCTCCTGAGAGGACGCCCCTTTCTATGAAGAAGGTTTAAGAAATCATTACAGATTAAATTGTACTTGGTAGAATATTAAAGTTAAGACACTGATGACTCGTGCTCAGTGAAAATGATCAACCTGGGTAACGTAACATGGAGGATGATTCCATTTTAGTAGAGAAAAGACGATACACTTTTTGTGGTTAGTTTTGGAAGTAGGAGTATGGCCTTTTCTCCCTTCTTCATGCTTTCCTGAACATTCTAAAAAGTTCTACCAGACTTGCTGTAAAAGAAGTAAAAGCACATAAAAAGAAACAAGAAAGAAAGAGTTATCTACACAGGGGAAAGGAGTGGCTGTGGAAAATGACAGCCATTTTCAAATATCTGAGGATTAGACTGCAAAGTGATTACACTTGTTCTGTGTAACTTCAAAGGGCATGGCTGAGACCCGTGACTGGAAGCCAAACGGAGACACATTTTGGCTCAGTCAAAGGAAACCTTTCTAACAATCCATCCACTTCCTATACCAAGGGCCTGGCACTGTACTGGCTCCCAATAAACAGAGGTTTATTATATGTGGTGAAAAGAGTGCAGTGGAATGCACTACCTTGAACAGAAGGAAGCTCTCGGCCCCTGTACTGATGAAGACTGCATTCTGGAGAGGGAAATCTTGTCGGGGGGATAGGGTGGCAGGAGTAAGTGGAGCTGCTAAAAGAATTGCAGTTCTAGGGCTGGAGAGATAGCACAGCGGGTAGGGCATTTGCCTTGCATGTGACCGACCTGGGTTCAATTCACAGCATTTGATATGGTCCCCTAAGCACCACCAGGAGTAATTCCTGAGTGCAGAGCCAGGAGTAACCCCTGTGTATGGCCAGGTGTGACCCAAAAAGAAAAAAAAAAGAATTGCAGCTCCAGCTTCTATCAAGCTAATGAGAGTTCTTGCTAAATTTATCTCTGGAAAACAAGATTTGGTTTGCACTGCGCCAATGACTAAAATGGAGAGTGAAGAGGAAAAGGTGAGGAAAGTTAATATTCTAAATAATATCCTCTTTCAGTAAAGAATGTCAATGGCTATCTTTTAGTTTTGGAAAACTGTACATACATGTGTGTCAAAACGTTAAAGAGGTGAAGCAATTTACTGACAAGAAGCAGATTAGCTAGGTAAGTAGACTAAATCTCAACTATTACCAGAAACTTTCAGACTAATTCAAAATATCAAAGCAACACCAAGTTCATCACCAAAGATAAAAATTTAAAAAAAAACAATTGCATACTAAAGGGGGAGCTGAACTTCTCAAATACACAACAAAAAAGTTATAACAAATAAAATAAAATGGGAACAGAACTTAAATGGAGCTAGGCAGACTGAAGAGACATGATTGGAAATGTCAAAAGGAAGGCATTTTTGACTTTGGGTGAATGGCCTATAAACGGAGGCAGAAGAGAAGGATAGTTGGGCATGAGTCCAGGGCTCAGGCCCAAGCAGACCCAGTCACGCCATCTCCCCACCTTGAACTTGTGTTCATTAAGCCAGAACCTTCCATGACAGAGACTAACCAGGTCTTTCACTCTCTTGAATGGCAATTCTCTTCATACCAGCTTTCACCATCCTTTCACAGAGTCCAGAGAACTTTCAAGGCTCTTTTGTGGGGCCCAAGTGATAGTACAGCAGGTAGGGCATTTGCCTTGCATGCGGCCAATCTGGGTAGAACTCCTGGCACCCCATATGGTTTCCTAAGCACTGACAGGAGTAATTCCTGAGTGCAGAGCCAGGAGTAACCCATGAACATTGCTGGGTGTGACCCCAAAAGAAAAAAAGTCTCTTGTTCTCATTAGACAAAAAAAAGTTCAAAAAAAGTTCTCACTAGACAATTGCTCTCTTTTAATCTTGCCTCTGTCTCATTAAACTTAGGGGAAATGAACTCACTGGCACTTCTTGCTGCCTTTTCCCGTAACTGAGGAGTCTAAAACCTGCCAACATTGTTAGGTGATGTGGGAGCATGGCTGCTCTATTTTGGTCTTTGCACAAAACAGAAATATGGTGGTCAACAGGATGGTGGACATTGTCAAAATTAAGAACTTGCTTTCAGAGCATTTAAAACTCTTACCTCTATATCCCCCCCCCCAACAGCCTTGAAGTACTTCTGAGTTTGGTCAATGATTGTTTTGCTAGAATTTTCTGAGAGGACTGGGCCAGACACTGATGGTCATTGCCTGCCAAGGGAACATGCATCAGAGGAGAGTGCCGTGAACATTGTCCCACGATGCTTATAGCCTGGGAAAGGAGACAAGATCTTCATAGAAGAAGGCAGATTCATATAACTACAACTGGCCCTGATTCTCCTCAACCAACTTTGACCATGACTTGCTTCTCAGCAACAGCTTCCACAATTCCCTGGGCCATATGCCAGAGTTACTTCAACTCCCAACCATGTTCCTGCCCTGCCCCTGAACAGAATAGCCTCTCCTCCCACTTGCCTGAGAAAACAGAGGCCTTCATGCCTGAGTTACTTTGGTGCCATGCGTGAATTACTTCAGTGCCCTGCCCTCCCCAAATTGGCCCACCTGCCTAACTTCCTTAACCTCCAGCTCTCCTTTTGCAGGGCACAAGGTACTCCACTCTTTAAAGGCTAATCCCTGGCACCAACTCCACCCATACTCCTTCCATGAGTCTATCTTCAAGGTGTCCACTTTTTTATATCAGATCTTTCCATGGTAACAAAATGACTGTCTCTGTTACCCACCGAAGCAAAACTTGTCCCTCTGCAAATGAATTTTCTTACTCCCTTCATCCCCCCCCCCACACACACACCGCTCACTCTCACTCTCTAGCTCATACACACATATACACACTATCTCTCCTCTCCTTCCTTCTCCTTTTCATTTCCTTCATCCTTAAGTTGGGGTGGTTGAGTTTCCCTCCCCACCCCGAGCAGAGCCCCAGCAGCTGAAAATCTCTGGAACCCAGCCACAGCCAGGCTTAAGACCACTCTCCACATGCTTGGATGAGCCTCATGCATGAAGGAAACTACAGAGAAACCCAGGTGTGTGGGACCCGGGGCTGAGATCTCCAAGCCTACTCGAATCAGGACTGGGCCTCCTCCACCCAGATCCCCCATCTTCCAGTAGCTAGACAGTTACACCCATTA